CTTCGAACTGTTGCCTTCTGGTCGGCGCTACAGAGCACTGACCACCAGAACAGCCAGGCACAAGAACAGTTTTTTTCGCACAGGCTATATTCAATCTTAACAATTAATCTTTCATAATTATACATCGTCCATCACAACTAACATAGTATATTTATATTAAACTGCACACTTTGTAAATAACATATCTGCACACTAATAAACATATCTGTCCTATAATTCTATTTCTGTATATAGTACATTATTCAATTTTTCTTTTTTTTAATTAACTTCTGCACTGGAAGCTCCTGTCGTCAAGTCAAATTCCTTGTGTGTGTAAACATACTTGGTAATAAAGCTCTTCTGATTCTGATTCTGATACCTTTTGTTCTTTAATATTTTGAATTGTTTTTAGCTTTATTTTTTGTTTTTCATTTAAATGTTAAGTTTTGAAATTGTGTTATTTTTAAAATGTGTATAAGTCGTATTTATAAAGTTTTAGCTTTTAGTTTTGGATCTGTTTTTAGTTTGTTTTAATACTACAATTGATTGCTTCTGTTGTCCTCATTTGTAAGTCGCTTTGGGTAAAAGCGTCTAATAAATGACTAAATAAATATAAGCAGCATTTTTTCCCTCTACAGATATAAAAACATTCATATGCCACAAATCTTAAATCTTACTTTTTTTAATAGACACAAAAACCTTAAATATTCAACATGTTGAATTTGACTTCAATTCAGAAAAACAAAGTACTCATGGCAACAGTTAAAATGGTTCAGTACTTAAGTTAATCATTAAGTCAGGTGGGCAGTCAGTCACCCTCACGGTCATTGCTCTGAAAGTCAAAATCAACCTTCATGCTCAAACAAGGTGCCTCTAACAAAATCAGCCAAAAAGATACTTTTCCACCTTTATTCCAGTAAGGTAAGGATGATATGCACTCACAATATACACACAATATCTGTGTACAGCAAAGAAACAACATGCTTGGAGCAAGAGACAGTTTTTGACATCGATCAAATAAATGTATTTTCTCTTAAGATATTTAAATATTATGGTCCTTAAAGTCTTTAATTTCAGCTCTAATAACATATGTGCTGTATTTTTGAAAGATCATTCTATTGAAATGATTGTGCTAATGTCATTTGTCAAGCCAGTTTTGGAAATGTTAAAGGGACCCCCTTATGGCTGTACAGGCCCAGTGCAACAGCTCCTCTGGCTCTGACCCAGTCTGTTGTACGTAAGAGTCTACTTTTCTTTCAGTACTTGCAATCAAGTCTAACGTACTGCTTTCACTTTTGCTGGTATACGCGGGTAAAAGACTATATTCGGTTTTGTGTTGACAGATGAAGAAGGATCAGGTCCATTGGCAGTCATTATTATCCCAAGCTTGCTGGCTCTCAGCACCCTGATCATTGTGTCTCAGATCATATGGAGCTTTATTACTAAAAGATCATCAGCTCAGATTATCACAGGTTCATCTTTAAATGTAAATGGTATGTGAAAGAAAACTGATCTATCATGTTGTCATGGGGATGTCGCAGCCCGGAATGTGTTGATCGGTTCAGGGCTCTCTGTCAAAGTCTCTGGATTGGATTTGGCTTTTAAGAGTCGACAATCAAAAACGGTGGACAACGAACAAGAAGCCAATGTGCCGGTAAAATGGCAGGCGCCTGAACGGATGATGAGGCTTCCCCTAACAGACAGGAGTGATGTGTGAGTCTATCAGAACATTAAAAAAATGTTTTATAAAAAATACTGCACTTTGACCAATGTGCTAAAGTTGTGCTGTCGTACTTCTTCAGATGGTCCTTTGGAATCCTGCTTTATGAGATGATAACCCTGGGTAGTATTAGTTAGAGGTCCTAATACACCAGTTGTTACTTGAAAAAAAAATTTGTAATCAAAAAATACTATGAAGCAAACAAGTTAGCAATCTTATATTTACCTTCCTTCTCCTTTGAAAGGGTCTCCCCCCTATCCTGACCTGGATCCATCTGAAGTGCTGCCAAACAATTTAGCCAATTACCGGATGAAAAGACTAGAAAACTGTGGAGCCCCATTGTAAGCCTTCGTATTTGTCTGTTTTATTTTACACAACATAGTTGTTTTGCTCCTCTGTGAACAGCACATGTTCAAGAAAATCTAAAAATCCTGTTAAAACGACATAAACGGACGTTATCTGGCATGTCTTGCAGATATGACTTAATAAAGTACTGCTGCATGTGGAACTTCAAGGACCGGCCGGTCTATTCTGCCATTATTCAGCTTCTAGACTCGTACAGCTACCTCGCTGACACAAAACCACTTCACTCTGAACAGCATATGGACATCTGTGAATACAGGAGGAAAGCAGGACTGCCTCCATGAGCTCATTCAGAGAGCTCTCAATTGATTGTTTCTACAACTGATTCAGTTCCATTAAGATTGACATCATTTCCAGCTAGTTTGTAGAGAATAAAGTGTAGCCATGTCATGATGAGCACAATGTCACTAGAGGTCGCCCTGTTTCTCAGAACTGGAGACCCATTGCATAGTGGTCAACTGAAATTAATCTCAAGGCTTCCCAGCTAAAAAAAAAATGTGTTACTAATGTAAAATTAAAAATATATGAAACTTTCTAAATATTTCTTTTTTTTATTTAAGCGGTGGCTAATGCCATGTTATTTATTTATCTAGAATAAGGTGACCATATGGCCTCTTTTTCCCAGGCATGTGCTGGCAGGGATTTCCAAATTTCATAAAAAGTCTAGGCTTTTTGGCTTTGTTTTCCTGCTGACACTCTCTACAGACATTATAGACCCAGACATTTTAGGAAATTTAGAAATCCCAGCCAGGACATGCACAGGAAATAGAGGACGTACGGTCACCCCATCTAGTGCTAAGTTATGACAGATTTATTGTTAACAATAGCGAGGGGTATATAAATAGAAACGATAGGCCTGCTCATGTTCAAGTATATGGTACTATGCCAAATTTTTACTCAAAGGTCAAAGTACCTAGTAAATAAACATGTGACAGATTTTCTCATTAAAATAACAAAGCAACCTATCTCATCACCTTTTTTGTCTGTTATGGGGCAGATCATCATCTTAACAGACTGGGTTTTAAACCTACAGTTACTGTTTTTGCTGTTACACAAAGTTGAAAATCCTGCAGTATTTTGATGGAAATGAAAACCATGGTACACTTTTGAAAAGGTGACGCCAGCCACATACTTTGGTGGTTGACCTCTAAAAAACACATACACATTTTTTCCTAACACCACTAAATTTTAATAAAAAGTAACCACAAGTGGTGCACAGAACACAAAATAATGCCTCAATACTGTTACGTTGCAGGGTATCAACTTCCCACTGAACCCGTTAACAGTACATAGCAAACTCAATGAAAGATCACACGCTAAACACAAGCAATTACTGAAAACTGTGAGTCAGGAAGCAGAACCCCTTAAAACAGAGGTTAAATGGTACAGAGTAACTCATTTATCAAAATTAAATCAACCGTCTTATTTTTCATATTGTTACAATGCATTTGTTTTGAAGGCCCACCTAATATTATATGGGACACAGTAATTTAAGTCACATATTAACCAGGCAATAGATAAATTACAGTATATGATGATAGCCACTATCTTAATCATACTGTAGTGTTTTTACATGAAATTACACAGATCATATGCAGAAAAATTCCCTTATGGACATTTTCTTTTTTAATAATTAAACTGACATTTTGATTATGATTGAGAGCTGAGTTGTTTCGGATCTTTCGGTCTCTTAAACAACCAAAAAGCAGTAATTCTACAAGTATAAATTCCACAGCAAATTTGACAATCTCAAGTTTGCTTCTTGCCTTTTCAGATTTGATTCATTTAGGCAGAACTGTGCAACAAACACCACACTTACTGTATCCGAGACCACCTAATATATCTCTGTCAACATGCCATTCAAACATGAAAATACGTGTGAAGCAGAGGTAAAGAGCATTTCTCATCCGTAGCGATGAAACAACAGCAATCAAGATGGCCGTAAGCCTCCTTAGATCATGTTGATTTCATGAAGTTCACCTCAAAACAAAAATGATTTAAAAATAGTTTTCCAAGTTTCTAAATTGGTTTGTTTTCCCTTTGCAGGAAGGAAAAGGGGATTCTGTTACGTGTGAGCCTCATAGGCCTTTACCCCTTTACACTTTGCTGCTCCACAGGGTTGTTGGAAACAGTATGTAGGAAACTGACCATAACAAGTAATAAACGCATGCTGGAGGGAAGGAGGAGCAAAACACCATGGCAACTCCTAGAAAAAGAGAGGAAAAAGGTTAATGTAGTTATTCAGTAAATATAGGTAAATATTTCATTGTACATGCTAATTTCCCTAATTTTTACAACCAACACTCAATTAATCTTTAAAAGCACCAATACTTCACACTATTAAAATGTAATCTTTAGCAAATCTCAAAATGATTATACATTTTTCATACTGTACTTTATAGTGCTGTGCATAAATTCACATGTAGCATTCAAAAATACAGATTTTTTAGTGTTACATTTATTAATTTATTTAGACAAAATAGTGTAGAACTTCAATATCTGCTATGTACTGGTTACTGGCTTTACCTCCGATGTAGACCACCTTCTTCCAAGCCTGAGACTCCAGTACTCTGTCATGTGGGTAGAAGTTCTGACTGACCATAAAGAGAATCATGGCCAGTGCTAGGATTCTCAGTACTGCCATATTTCCTCCAGTCAGCAGAGAAACACACACCAGGATGGCAGAGGAGTAGATGCATGGTAGGCCACGGTACATGAATGGGATTCCTGCAGAAAACAGCCCACTTCTAACTGACAGCCACTTATTAACAGCTGTGCTACTTTATATATATACTATATATATATATATATATATATATATAAACATACACACACACACATACACAGATATATGTATATCTGTGTGTGTATGCATGTATGTACAGTACATATATATATGTGTGTGTGTGTGTGTGTGTGAGTGTGTGAGTGTGTATTGAAAACAAGTTTGGTATAAGTTCCTCACCGCTAGAGAAGAAGCAGAGACGAGTATAAACAGACAGCACATACAACATGCACAGGATGTTATCCAAAAGACCAGGTGTTCTTAAAATAAGAGATGTTGCTATTCCAAATGTTGTAAAATCAGCAAAATCATCCAACTTTGCACCTGCAGTACAAAAAAAAACACATTGTTGATACTGACACTGTCTTAAAAACAACATGTATGATAAAAGACACTGGGGAAAAAACAGCGAGACTCGAAGCAACTGCCAAGGATGCCATCTAGAAATGCTGTCAAACTTAAAAAGGATAGTTCTGTTACATGTTTCCCCTGTCTACTGACTCTTATTTTGAAGTATTGTTCCTGTGCTCTGTCTTCCTGTCTCCATAGTCACTCTCATTTGTTTCATGGTAATTCATTAGCCTAACCTGTTCCACAGTAGCCCCCTGTGTATTTATACCCCTGTGGTTCTGTTTCTAACATCCGTTCGGTATCTTAATACAATTATACCATAATACCATTAATACAATCTGTAAAGAGAAACATGAGAAATCTTCATGGCAGTCCAGAATAGCTTATTATTATAATCTACTAACAACATTCGTTTGGTCCCTTAATACAATTATACCAGTAATACAATCTTTAAAGAGAAACATGAGAAATCTTCATGCCAGTCCAAAATAGCTTATTATTATAATCTACTAACAACATTTAGGAGTTGCTTTATCGCTAGTGTGGTTGAAGTGTTTTCATCAGGTTGGGACATTTGAGTGCGTCCAAACAAATGGGCTGGAATTTCAATCCCATGGTCAACAATTTGAGCAATGTCAGATATGCTGGGGGTCCAATGCATCAGGATTAAACAGACAATCAGAACATGATCCCCCTGAATTAGGCTGCTTCATCACAAACAAACTGTTCAATTGTCAAAAAAGGGAGGGAACTGGAAGCAAAACAACATCCATCAGTGAGATCATGCAGAACAACAGGCAACAGTATGCAGCTCAAGAGTACAAGTGACTTGGCATTGTGAGGGCACAGCAAAGCTATTTCAGGCAGCTGAGTGGACGTGACCACCTGCACACAAGCCACTTGTCTTCCACTACAGAGCTGGCAAGGTTGTGTGGTTTGGAAGAGAAAGCCTACTTGTTTTTTGTTTGTTTATTTTTACAAAAACTCAAAAGTAATGAGTGCATATTTAATTAACTTCATTTTATATATTGCACTAACAGAAAAAAAAATCTGCATTTATTTATTAATAATTTGTATTTAATTTAGCAGAAATGTACCACAGCAGTGGGATTAAAAAAATTGTAGGAATAAATTATCAATTTAATAATGAAAACTTCTAACTTTTTAAATGGACAGACTAACAGACATATTTAAAACCTAACAGTAACACTTTGCATTAAGGTTCCCTTTATAAACTGTTTATAAAGGTGTTCATAAATGACTAATAACTCATTTACAAATGCATTATAAATCATTGATAAGCACTTATAAATGCATGAATAAAAAGGGTGATTTTAATGCAATACCTGCCAAATAGTGAGCCATTTTTAACTCACATGATATAAATGCTTAATAAATATATTTATTAATACTTATTTCACTCAAAACTAGATTCCCGATTTATTTCATGATGTAGCAAAAATAGACTATTAAAGCGAGGCTGAAGGGTGTTATTTATATTTGTCTCATTTTTATCTCATGAATTATGAACCTTAATGTAAAGTGAACAGCTTTGAACCATTTATTAATGAGTTCTAAACGTTAATAACCTATGAAAGTGAACCTTAATGTCAAGTGAACACCTGTGAACCATTTATTAATGAGTTAAATGTCAATAACCGGTGAAAGTGAACCTTAATGTCAAGTGAACACCTGTGAACCATTTATTAATGAGTTAAATGTCAATAACCGGTGAAAGTGAACCTTAATGTCAAGTGAACACCTGTGAACCATTTATTAATGAGTTAAATGTCAATAACCGGTGAAAGTGAACCTTAATGTCAAGTGAACACCTGTGAACCATTTATTAATGAGTTAAATGTCAATAACCGGTGAAAGTGAACCTTAATGTCAAGTGAACACCTGTGAACCATTTATTAATGAGTTATAAATGTTAATAACCTGTGAAAGTGAACCTGAATGTAAAGTTAATGTAAAGTGGAAAAAAATTATTTATTGATTATTATGGCACACACAGAAAAAGTTGTCATTTTACAGGGGGAAATGTATTTTATTGTTGTTACACTTTATCAGTAAACAACTTGAAACTTGAAACAAAAAGATTAATATTTTCTTTTACAGCACATTGGAACATTACTGAGTATAACTTAACACAAAAAAAAGAGTCTTATACAAGTAAACTCATATTAATCAATTCAGAAAAACAATCAAGTATTCCACCAAATTATAACTAAGCATCACATCTATATGACAAAAATATATTAAATAAATGCAAGCTCAATAAAGGCACCTAAATATTGATATTTTATCTAATTTAACAGTTTTGAAATAATCATTAAATCAATGACCGAAAGCACCGTTACAGAACATTATCATATTAATAAG